GAGACACGCAATCGAATCAATCAAAGTCAAGCAAAACGACGTCAACATTTTATGGAACAACTTCTTCAACAGATCGATAATATGGATGACAATGTTTTGACATTAGAAGAGTCATGGCTTCGTTCATATTGGACGCGTTTTACACAATACGTCGGCTATTGTACTGAGAAGATTCTTGGCAAATCTAATGAATGGAGCAAACGTTATCGGCTTACCGCTGCGTTGAAAAAAGAAATTCCGGTGACGATCTATTACGAGAATTGTTCTATTTGTCTCGACCTGATCCTTGAAATATGGAATACAGAGCCAAAAGCATGCGTTACGAAATGCGGGCACATATTTCATTATGATTGCCTCAAAGAATGGTTTACCAAAAAGAAAGAATGTCCATATTGTCGAGCCGATTTACGAAGTTTGCCTGAACATGTGCTCGGTCAACGTATCGGACTTCACCCGATCAATGATGTACTTAAAACTCCCCCTGCAGCTCCATCTGCGGCTCCACCTACAGCTCCAGCTGCGGCTATAACTCCAACTCCAACTGTAGCTTCTCATGTGACTCCTCCTCGACCACTTACACCGTTAGGTGGAGAAGTTGCAGAATTATTTTCGTCAGAAGAATCAAACAATGCGAACTCTATTCAATAAATTAAATCATTTTCACTGACAAAAATCAGAAAACTGTCAATTTTCGTTCCGATTGCCCATGAGATTGTTTGCTTGATTTACAAGTTTTTGAATTAATCTGATGTTTTAGACAATAAATATATTGCAAAATCGAGTTCTATTCAGACTCGAGAAAAAGGCATGAGTATCAGTGCGCATGTAGATGTGGTGTGTGGATCAAGAGATGATTCAGAATTTAAAGATCAACATCCGTACCTATCCACCCATACTCCACCCTGTTCTCATAATATTTCAAATATCAGGTTTTGGTATTCAACGAACAGAAAAAAAATTAATTATACTGCTAGCGCACTTCATGCGAAATTAAATTGTGAGAGACGATGTAGTTGTCATTCATAATGACAAGGAAATTGTTTTATCAAGTCTAATTTAGTAGATATCTCTGCTGCGTTTTGTTACTTAATGCTTCATAAATAAAATAAAGGAGTAGTTAACTAGAAGGTGCTGTCACTATCTTCGATGAAGGAAACATATTACCAGGAATGCCTGCCATGGTCTATTGAATGGAAGTTCGGTGGTACAATTTTCTACTCTGTTTATAGTGTTGAACATAAGTTTATAGTAAGGATGTTGATGTGTATCATATCTTTATACACACCTACATCCTTTTTTTGTAAAAAAGGGAATACGGAAATGGGTGAGCTTATATAGGATCTAAATAAGTGTTACAGGCTTGCTAGAGAGAGATGTGGTGAGCGAGCTCGTTTGAGGTCCCTTTTTAATATGCAGACCATAGAAGCTCAGTCAGAAACTATCTTGGTGTCCGTGGCATACGATCGGATTTCCTCAAGACCCTTTGACACAACTGCTCGCACGCACGTTTATGGAATAGGCATTGCATTCATCAATTCAACGTGATTTATTTGAAGAAGATGAAAAAAGAATTAATCATCATAATGAGTTTACTCGATAGAAAAACGTTGAATACGATTATTATATTGATCGGCAACATATATATTTCCATGCCGATCGAAAGACAAACCTATAGGACGATCCAACTGATTAGCTCCTTCTCCATCACCATTGCCACCCACAATGACAGTGCCATGTGTTGCTCCTTTAAGCCAACGCATCACTCGATGATTGTTGCGATCTGCTACATAGATGGTACCCAATGTATCGACGAATAGTCCCCAAGGATTCGACAATTGTGTCAGAGAGTTTCCTTTGCCTTGACCCCCAGCGACAACAATTCCTTCTTTTGCACCTTTGTTCCATTTCATTACACGATGATTTTCGCTGTCTGACACGTAGACAGCCTCTTGTTCATCGACATAGATGCGGGACGGAGTGTTGAGTTGATGGAGACCAGAACCCCAGTCATTGCCACCAGCCACGATAGTTCCATTGTTGTCTCCTATTCGATATCGTCTAACTGCAGCTCTGCTCATAGCAGCGATGTAGAGATGTCTCTGATTATCCAAGACCAGTCCTGCACAAGAGGTGCCTTTGATGAGAATTTCTCCTTGAGTTGTGCCGCTATGACGAGACCATCGTACGACTCGGTCATTATCACAAATAATGAGACTATTTGTCTCTCTGTCGATCAACACATCACGCGGAAAATTGAATTGATCCAATCGATATCCAAGGCCATTGCCACCAGCTACAACTTGTCCATTCGTATCACCCATCTTCCATTGCATCATACGATGATTCTCGTAGTCAGCAATGACCATCGTTTGATCATCGTCAACGAAGAGACCAAGAGGACGATAGAGTTGATTGGTGCCATTGCCTGGTCCATGGCCTCCAGCAATGGTCACACCATTCTGTGTCCATCGAGCATCAACAGGAATGTTAGGAATCACTACAATAAACGAAAAAGAAAAAAATCTTCATTGTCGGTGTTGAAGAGATGCCCTCTCTTGCGGAGCTTTGGCCTTCGAAACGAGTTTGGTAAAACTTTTAGCAATGTTCTTGCTGTAGATATCAATCCAGAAATCTTTTGCCAAATTTTTATGAAAAGAAGAACCTCGTCTTCTCTCTTATATCTATGTCACTTCTAGTAATTGCCAAGATTTTTTAGATGCTAAAAAGTAGAATCTTCGCGGTCGATGAAAATCACACCTGGAGATCGCTGTAAGGAGATTTTCCAAGAAACAGCAATAGTAAATCCATGTAAGCTTTTGATAGAAAAACATTGGATTGTGAGAAGTTCATTCTGAATTGCAGGA